TCATCAACAATCGGACGGATTGGAAATCTTGATAGTAGAAAATTTAGTACAATTATAGTGTATTCCCCGCAAGTCGCTCACATTCAGACAATCAAATGTTTCACATAATAGTCATATGACTTCAATAAAGCTCTATGAATAATCCCAGAGCGTAACTTTAAATACTGCCTAGTGTAAGTAATATCATTATCTTGTTTTGAAGGTTTGAAACAGTGAATTGTAACCTTAAAACCAAACCCGATTGGTTGTTTGAAAAGAACCCAAACGGTTTGGTACCAGTGCTGGAACATGATGGAAAGATCGTCTATGATTCACTGTTAATCAATGATTATTTGGATGAAGTATTTCCAGGTAAACGTCAGCTCCACCCTAAAGATCCCTATCAAAAAGTATTGGACAGAATGACATTGGCTAATTTCATGAGCAAGGTAAATCATGTAGATCGACTATATAATTTACATAATGACTAACAATAGATCATATCGTCCGACTAGTTTTCAAACCCACCATTTTTGTTCATCCTCTCTCGCAGCTAGTTGTGTCAACGTCACAAAAATAGTCGTCAGTGTTTATATTTACCACACTAAGACTTGGCGAGTAAAATTTAGATTATAAAAACGCAATATTGAAAAAATAAAATTGTTCGATGTCAGGGGTGATATGGACGAGCTGATGACATTGTAGATAAATTGAGAACGAATCTATAGCTCGATGACGTGACCGGACATAATATTCCTTGAAACCCGTAAATAATTTCGAAGTGGATTGTGTTCAAATTATCTGTCAATGTGTGAAAAACTATATTGTTTTTTGATGAACGTTGTGTGTAGACTGAAACGGTCGTCGCAGTTTTCTAATTTTTTTTTTTCAAATCTTGGTTCGATGCGAAATTACAACAGAAATTTCGCATCAACTCGAGAGATTTTAACTTGTGTTTGCCACGACTGTGCCAGTCTGCGTTGTATGTAACCTATAGCTTGGACTTCGGTTAGCCCGTTAATTAAAGTTTGTATTACTAAGTTCTGTTTGAACATCGAGTTACAATCGGGCGTGGTTTTATATGACCATGGTCATTTTGTAACTGTCCATAACTTGAACAATTCAGCATCTATGAGTAATGAATCATGCTTTCTCGTTGTTATGTTAAATCAGGCATCATCCATTCGTAATTACTATAAGTCGAAAGGTGAAGACAAGGAATCCCTTTTTATCATAACGACTGCACTTGAAAGACTTGAGCACGACTTGAAGAAAAAAGGCTCTACTTATTTTGCAGGTTAATATAATGCAATATAAAGAATAGATTTAATATTATTGGGTGGGGGTGTGAGGGTGCTGAAAGAGTGTGATCGATGCATTTTTTTGTCGTTCTCTTTTCTATTTTCTATTTTTTG